AAATACATTTCAAATGTTTGTTTTCAGTAAAACTATATATTTTAACTGTTATTTTCTCTACCCCAACTCTGTAACAATGTTGGTCAATTTGATTGATTTGTAACCACCAAAAAAAAAAAAGAAAGAATTAATCTAAATTACCCTTTTTTTCTTTCTAGAATGACTTCAAACTTTAACATGAAACTACATTTGTTTATCCTAAGTAGTTTAAATACGTAACAGTATACATCTATTTATAAAAAAAAAATATTGTTTTATTGTCTCTTTTAATCACATAACAACCACAATGGAATTGCATGGAATAGAAATAAATTTGGACATTTTTTAGCATTCTGTAGTAATGTGATGTCACTGAAAACTGATTACTGATGTGTAACAGTCCTTTCTGATACAAAATATTCATACACTCAGAACATAAAAATGTATTCAGATTGGGGAATTTCTAAGACAGGAATACTCTTGTACTTAATGGCATTGGAAATAAAAGAATATGGAACATCTTGAGTCATGAGGACTTTCTAGAAAGAGACCTGCAACAATTTGTATCCCAGCCAAGGTAAAAAAAAACAAAACAACAGAATCTTGTAACAGGTGAAAATCTACAAGCATAAAGGTCAGTGACAAAAGCTGTTCATGTGAACCAGGCAACAGAACACAACATAATCAAAAAAGATCTTAACTGGAGAAGTGACACAAGTTGCTGGAGAACAAAATTATTATTATAAATCCTGTACTCACTGCTCAAATGGATACAATGATATAAAATAATTTGTTTCAAAACTTACAGAAATTAAACAATAACAATCTGAAAGGGAATGTGTAACACAATAAAACTTGCAAAATCTGGAGTTTGAGAAATATTAAAAGATACATGAAACAATTCTCACCTTGAACATAAACTTTGGGCTTGGCATTTTGCAATGCATTTTTTGTGGCATATCATTGCACAGGTCCTACATTGGAAAGCCACTTTCAACCATATCTGAAAAAAGGACAACAAATTAGTTGAAGTATGATAACTTTATTTTGAGCTCAATTAACCTGAGGTATGGAAACCATATCAACAACTTAGTTAAACATTTTTTAAATACTGATGACACAAATTACTGCTATATAGCAAGATAAACCAATTTCAGTGCTTTTATTTCATATTGAAAAAGAGAAGACAGAAAGATTCTACTCCTGTGTGACTTATCTTCAATTGTTAAAAATCTGTAATCAATGATAATGCAAAAATTAAGTTTTAAAAATTTTAAATACATTTATAAATAAACTTACGGGTATTTGATTTATATATAGCATGGCAATCACAATGATATCATCAGGATAAAAACGAAATATTTATAAAATCTTCATACTCATAGAATGTAATGTTCTTATTTTTAAATCAGAACAATTACAACATTTAAATGACAATTGATTTATAGCTTTAGGCTGGAGATGATGGAATATCGTAACATGTCTATGTAATTAGTGATGCTGAAACAACATTGAAGGACTGACAAGTGACATTGCCTAATTTTTCATTCACCATTATTGTTCTGCATTCAAATATTGGTATGAAGATATGTTGTAAACAAAACAATACATATGCTTCCAAGGTGGTAACTCAAAAATGAAAAAATAATAAATCAGTGACTTAACTTTATTAAAATGTTCAAAACTTAAACAAATTATTCAATTTAAAAGTAAGTGTAAAAAAAAGATATTCTGAGTTTAATTTGTGCAAAATATATAGTCAGAATTGAGGAAGTTTTCACTCTAAATAAGCTTCAAAAAATATTAAACAAAACTAAAATTAAAGGATATTATGGGATTATGGATATTATGGCATTTTACCCATGCAGGTGTTGATGTGTCAAGTAAAACAAAATCACTGTTAGTACAACAAGTATTATGTATATAGTTGCTAAAAACATGAACAAAATAACTTATTTGTTCAAGCCCATACATTCCTACTTATATAATCGGTTTAAATGTGAATTCAATTTTATTTATTTTGTGTAAATCTTAGAAACTGCCACAATGACTTCTCAAAAACCAACTTCTGTTATAAATCTTTTCATTAATTTTCTCCTTCTTTTTCAGTCATTATAAAACTTTTGCAATTTATTATTTTGACACATTATTCTGTTCTTACTTCTTTATTTCATCACTCATATGCGTAATGTCTGCAGACGTTCTTACATAATCATAAAATATGAAAACAAATACCCTGAATATTATCTGATAATTCGAAGAAAGGATGGAATTCCATTTAAAATGTGGAAAACTTTATGAAAGTTATTTCAAAATTATATTCTCAAATTCAATAGACACTTCTTCTTAAAACAGAGATATTGTTAAATCACTCTTTTTTAACTTTTTGAGGTAAATCTAAATCTGGTAAAAATGTTGGATTCAAACAGTGTCTAATACACATTAAGAGTGAGTAAGTTTCTAACTGCACCCAAATCCATTATGGAATTCAGCCTCATATCACTGTCTCATCACAGACACAACATGAAATGACAAGCCCATGTTTGTTCAAACCAGGCACTATAATTCTTGGTAAAAGCTGATTGCCATATCTGCCTGAGCTGATGACCAGATCTAACCCATGCTTGACTATTTACAATTAGTTGAAGGTGCTAAAGTACTTGCTTGTCATCAACTAGAATTTGTATCCACTTATCCTGCTGAACAAGATATGAACATTCTCAAATATTGGGGCTTAATAGGCAAAATTTAAAATAGGGGCTTCTCTGTGCAGCTCTAAACATGTTTTCAAGAATTTCTTGTAGCATTAACACTATCACCAAGGGTATACATTAATTTTCTTAAACTACTTTTTGTTTATGTTATACCAATTAGCATAGCATAAAATCTTATTTAATAATTTACATTTTAACCCTTTCGATACAGTTCACAGGTGAAAGACCATGTCATCTTGTTTGTTGACTCACATTCAAAAGTATGTTGAACTACTATTTCATGAATTTATGTCAATAAGTT